CCCCAAAACCCCAAAACCCCAAAACCCCAAAACCCCAAAACCCCTATACCTAACAATTTGGTTGAAGCTAGATTACAGAAATTAGTGGTCAAGTAAATCACCAGCAACTTCTTTGAAGCTTCTGAAGAATTCTGCAAAGAGCTTGTGGTAGTAGATAGCATCTGTAGTACCACATATTTCTCTGCATGAGTGCATAGCAAGCTGAGGTGCTCCAATATCAATAGTCTTCATACCTACAGTAGCAGCCAGAGCTGGTCCGATGGTAGATCCACAAGGAAGATCTTGTTTGACCATGAAATCTTGCAGAGGAACATCAGCTCTATTGGCAATTTCTCTGATAATGGCGCTGTTTACAGAGTCAGTCATATATCTCTGATTACAGTTGATCTTCAATACAATTCCTTTGTGCATTGCAGGAGTATGCTGGGCCTGGTGTTTATGTGTATAATTGGGATGAATAGCATGAGCCATATCAGCAGAAATGCAAAGGGAATGTCTTAAGGCTGCCTTATAACCAACATCAGCTGATCCACCATTAAAAGTAGCATATATTCTTTCAAGACTGTCCTTGACAAGAGCTCCATCAGCTCCTTGGTCAGATCTAGAGCCAATCTCCTCATGATCAAAGAGGTAGATCAAATTCACTGATTGATCATCCGGAATATCTTTAGAGATGTCGCAAATAGCATGAGTGGCTGTGAGGGAGCTCAACATGTTATCAAGTCTTCCACTTGAGATGAACTCTTTGTGAAGTCCCATGATCTGAGACTTGTTAGTATCTACCATTGAGAGTTCGAAATCAACAATGTTTTCAGCAGTTGTTCCAATCTCAGATGCTATTAAATCTAGAAAGGATTTAAGATGCTTCTTCTCGATAGAGTATCTTGATTCTTCATCTTCCTTTTTCTCCTCTTCATCAGTTTTAGCATCTTGGTCCATCAAGGCATCAATGATCGAGGTAGCAATGATAGGTTTGAGATGGGTTTCTTTGTTTAATTTTAAGGTAGTTCTCTCTTCTTGAGAGCAAAGATGTGGAGCCATGTTTGGAATTCTAATCAGAGGTTCTTCATGATGCCACAACCTATCCTCTAATTTGCCAGTTTCTTCGTTATAGATGACAACTCTTCCGGCAAAGGTGAGGTCTCTGTCAAGCCAAGTGTGCCAGATACCACCTCCGTACCATTGAATTCCGATCTCTTTGTATCCAACAGTATCTATATTAGAGATAGGAGCAATTCTAATAGTTGGAGAGTCAGTGTGGCATCCTACCAACTTGAAGCTATCTGGAGGGCTTCCTTCTTTCACTTTCTTGCCAACAGTGAAAGCACAGATAGAAGAATTGTTTCTTGTGAAGTAGTATTTCTTCCCAGTCTCAAGAGCCCACTCTTCTGTCTCCTTGACCTGTTGGAAATCTTCAGCATGTAGCAATTTCTTAACAGTTTCTACTGAGTGGAAAGGTGATACAGAGGTATTCAGCCCATCCACAATAGTCTGGGCATAAGTCTGGGCTTCAGTAAATAATTCCTTAGTAAGCTTCTTTTTCTCCATCTTTAAGATTTTAGATATGTTATTATTTCTTATTGATATGGGGTTTTGGGGTTTTGGGGTTTTGGGGTTTTGGGGTTTTGGGG